AGAAAGGAAAAAGAAAATCTCAGGAACTGAGGACATTTTGCTTCCCTTGTTAATTTAAACAGAGGAATCAGAGACCCCAACGGTCTCCTCCAGCAACCCCCTCCCATCACCCTGCAAGGCAAATTCTTTTGGATGGCTCTTCACTGCGGGTACAGGAATTACTCGCAAGTCTCACTCTGCATCTCCCGAGTCAGCATGGTGATTGCTCTTAGCCAAGCACTGTTAAAATGCAGGGTTTGGCACCGCTGAGACGAGCATCCCTTTCATGCAGACCTTCTGAAGATGCAGCAAGAGTACCTGCATCCACCAAACCTACACCATGACAGGGCATCACAGAAAAAGACATCTCCACATCTAGCTATTCTAACAGGGGGTTACTACCCAATACCCCGTCCCCCTCACCAATTGCTTTGCCAGAAGGCAGACTGCTTGACTCTACGGTGGGGGGGAAGTTCCTATTATCCCTCCCTGCTATTTATCTCAACCATTTCTCACACAGTGTAAGTTCTGGGGTCACGGTCAACAAATCCCAATGGGAAGAAATAAAGCCCCACCAGAGCTATACCAACAAAGAGAACACCCCCACAAGCGCTCCAAGGGGAAGGGACCCCGAGTAACTTACGCCCTCGTGTATCCCTTCTCTCGGCAAAGCGCTTTGGAATGCCTCCCTTCACACCGCGCTGCCTCCAGCCAGCACTAAGAGAAGCCCTCCCTTTCCTCCTCCCTCCTTCCCTCCCTTTTCTCCTCCCTCCTTCCCTCCCTCTCTTCCTCTCCCAGGATGTCAAAGCCACCTCACGCCACCTCTTAACCTCAACCTTGACCTCTAAAACGTGACTGGAGATGTGTATTACAGAGCTGCTGGCATCTGTAGCAGTGCTAGCGCTGGGAGAGGGGAAGAACTGAGAAAAGCAGCTGCTTCAAAGCAGTTTTGCTAGGAGAGCAGCTGACAAACAGTGCTGCTTTTGTTTGAAAAGGACATCCAAGTCTGCTTTACTGCTGCTTTATAATACACTTCTCTAACTACAGCTCTGCTAAAATAAGGATGCTAGATGCGCAAAGTCTTTATATGCTACTCAATGTACAGGCTTAGACTTTAACTTTGCACCTCAAGCATCAGTATGTTAATAGAGCTGTAGTCACAGAACAAGAAAGTACATCTAAGCCAGTACTGTAAGTAGCATCCAAAGGCAAAAAAAAAGGAAAGGAAAGGCTGGGAGAACTAGAAGGAAAGGCTCGTCATGTGATAGGGCTGACAGACAGCAAGCAGCACTGGTATAAATGTCTCATTAAAGGAGCAATATTTTTTAACCTTCCATGACATGCTGCCTGTTACTTTGGAAGTTTTTTCCCAGTTAACTTTAAAAGCCTTAAGCAATAAGTTTAATACAGGAAATCAGAAGCTAATTTCATCACAACAATTTAGATCAACTTCAGTTCATGTCCTAACTAGGTCAATTAAATAAATAGCTGGGTTTCCTACCAGTTCAGAAGGCCACATGCTCACACCCACAGAGAGAGCAGTCAAGAGGATTTTTAACATAAATTTGCTACTCTGTCCCATCCTTCATACTATAAGCACAGACGCAAGCCTCCTTTTTGAGCGCAAAATAACTTGGCAGAACAAGCCTCCTTTTTGAGCGCAAAATAACTTGGCAGAACATCACCGCAGTGGAGAACAGAGCAGGTCAGCAAAGCAGTCACTGGGAAAGAGAAGGAAATATTCTAGGCCAGCAACACTAGGATTTATATTCTAAAGGGTTTTCTGAAAATACCATCATTTACGGTGAGGTTCAAAGATGACAGTTAACACCTCTCATGCTTATTCCAACGTACCATAACTTCACCATAGAATGGACAAAGCTGGTTGCTCTTACAATTTCAGGGTTTCCTCATGCAACAGTAGGATCTAACAGGGAAGGCTACTATTTTCCCCAGCTGTGCAGTTTTCTAACCAAGGAAAAAAGCTGTCATACAAAAGCTTGTAGTGTAAGTGCAAGGATCTTGAAGCTTGAATTGTTTCAGCCACATAAGGCTTGATAATTTTGCTCAGAAAACATTAACCCACACATCAAGAAGTGACAGAAGACAGGTTTTGACATGCTATTAAAACCAGAAAATTTTGGAGCAAGGGTTAAAGAAAACAAGAAGTCCAAAGAAATGCAAAAATAGAAAGAACCTATTCTATGTTGCTGTACACATTAGCTCTGGCCAGTGCTGTCTGGAACTGATTATGAAAAAAAATTTAACAGTTCTCAATACTGCTTCCATTAAAATCATAAATGAAGATGGTTATGCTGGATTTTTTTAATAAACAGATCTCTTTCTGTACTTACCTGCTAAACTGAGTTATGCTCCAATACCACTGATATAAGATGACTGAAGTGATCTACAACTTCATTCCAAGACCAAAGCAAGTGGCAGTATTCTTCATGCAGCCTGCTGAGGCCGAGTATTTTGAATCCTGCAGCACAAAACCTGCACTAAGTATAATACAAAGGGAGCCAGGAATCAAACAAGCTAGGAAATTGCTGCATTGAAACATACAGCATGAAACATTCATTTGTCTTTCCCCTATTCCTCTTCAACTCATTTTCCAGATGCAAATTAAATCAATAATGCTTTTAAGCTCTAAGTACATAGAGAGTTCAGCATAATGCTGCACCCCTTTCAAATCTAACCCCTTTCAGAATTAAACAGGAGCAAATTCCAAGTGTAAAAGGAACACTGGATCAGGTCCAGCATAGCCATTTAGATTGTTTGGGTCTTTTTATAAGTAAATGCGTATCTGGACACATATACTGGGGCTCTGAAAAGGATGGGGAAAGCAACAACATTTCAGTTATTCTTAGTGGGCTCCACTGGGTGTCAAAGCAGCTTTGTTATGAAACTCTCCTCTCTGGGGGTGGGGAGGAAAGCAAGGCATTTCACTAGTTAATGCTGCTCTCCCACACCTCATTTACTGACATTTGAGCAGTCCAGGCTTCCTCAGCCTGCCCTGCTTCAGCATGGGCAGAACGGAACATCCCATTGAGCTCCAGCCAGAGGATGTGCTTTTGAGGCTGAAAACTTGTGACTCAGCTCAGTAACAAGTTAAAACCTCCAAACCAACAGATTACTGCCCAAAGGTGCATTTCAAGGAGAACTCTCACATCCACTGAGCTTTAGAATGTTTCTTCCAGTCATGGAGTTAAAGCCTTTCTTACTTTACAACATAACAAACAAAAACAAGTGGCCAAAATAACCTGTCATCAACCAGCAGAAGGGTTTCCTCCTACCAGAGAATGCTTCTAGGGTCTCACCATAAGAGTTTTCTTCTGCATAATAACAGACTACTAAAACAAAGAAAATATTTCTCTGCAGCAATAATTCCTTCAGCAATAAGCTACTAAAGGCCATCTCTGACAGGAACCCTTCCTGTGCTATCTCCCAAACCACTGAATGAGAGATAGCTTTCATCTTCCTGGCAGAGCAAGCCACTGGCCACCAGAAGCACTCACCCGTGGCCAAATAGCAGCTTTGAATGACTGTACATCAGAGCCTTGGGTATGGTGGTATTTCAGAGTCAAGTTTGTTGGTTTGGGTTTTTAAGTTCCATTCTTCCTGAGGGTTACTTCATGAAGATAACAGCAACAGCTTAAGGGATACATCACAAGTTTTATATGAGCAGCAGATACATACTCTTCCCAGGGGAGTCTCCACCTGTAGAAAGATCAAGATAACATCTGCCCACTCATTTGGGTCCTGACCCCCTCAGAGAAATCTGTTTCTTGATGGCAGCTCTGTCCCTCCCTACCTAACCTATTCATCACTAACTCCAAACCAAATCCCAAATGAAGAGTCACCTTCACCAGAGGGAAAAGCAAAAAAATAAAAGCATGTCACTTATATATCTTCCAAAACCTGGCAGGCTTGAAGGGATGAGAATCAACAAAATGAAGCCAAATTAACAACTTATGTTAATTTGCTAGGATGCTAGGTACTCACTTTTTGCTTGGAAAGAATTGTTCTACACTCCTTCCATTTTTCGTCACCTGTTGTTCACTTTCCTTTTCCTTGCCCTCAAAGCCTCACTGGTAAGAAAGTCTAACTTCATTTATAGCATAAACAAAATGAAATTCTCTGCCATTTGTTAATTTACAGCATTAAGTCCTCCTAATTAAATTTCTGTGCATGTCTGCTTAGTGGTTGGGACATAATTGAAGGAGGTGGTTCCTCAGTTCAGCCACCAGCATGAGCCAACCAAAAGACTCTTCCAAAGCCAGGAACAGGAAGCTTTCAAACCAACCTAACAATTCCCCTGGAAACCAGAACCACAGCAGATAGCTTCCATTAACATACTTGGAGGTGACCATGCTGTAATCCTTACATACAAACACACAAATCCACACAGACTCCATCTACTCTATAATACTCAACAATACTCAAATTTTACTTTTTTTTTTTTTCCCCAAGAAAAACTATAGTCTTATCACATCAAGTCACCTTGCAGTCTACGGAAATTAGAGCTACAGTGCTCTCTCCCTGAGATAGCAGAATCTGCTGTAAAGTAAAAAGGTGGAAAAATCACTTTTCTGCTAATTAAGTTCAACTTGTTCTCAGGTTGTCACCTACCCCAAAGGGCTGCTCACTATCTTTTGGGATTAAACTTGCCACAGAAGCCTGTGGAGCATGCCAAGTGCTACTTGCCCTTGCACATAAACCAAAGCAAAATCAAACTGCCAGAATTTATTGAGAATACCTTTCCCTCTACACCTAAGTAATGGCTAGGAAAAAGTGTTTTGAGGAAAATGAGCAGATCCTGAAGCTAAAGAGTGAGATGCTGGCAGGAGGTGGTATAAACAAGGGGAGGATTTTATAGTGTCTTCTATTTCTGGTTGAAAAACAAAAACGTTCTCAGCATTGAGATGCACCCCCTCAGCCTCAGATTAATCTGTACTTTTAAACACAAGCTTTTTGTTAAACAGCAACAGCTAAAAAAAAAAAAAAAAAAAAAAACCCTCCTCAGCACATTATATATTTTAATGGAACCGTCCTTGATGAGTGATATGAAGGCAAACTCGTTTCCTCTCAGCCTGACTCAGTCTAAAGGACTTTGAAGCTGAAATTTTTCCACTCCTCTAATGACTTGTTGCAATGGAGATGAGTGCTCTGCGAACAGCAATGCCATCTTCTGGCACAGTTCCTGTGAGAAAGGGAATTTGCTGAATACCACTAAAAAGAAAACTCCTGGTTTGGGAAGACAGAAACTCAGACTCCACAATAAATCTCAGATTTCTCTCCTCTCCACCGCACTCACTGTTGGGCTCTAATTGTTTGGGGGACTGAAACGAAGCAGTGAGAAGGCACACACTGCACTGCAGGAGCAAACTCATTCAAGTGTTTCTTAAAGGTGCAGCAAGACTATCACCATAAGTGAAGATTTACACCAACTTGAAGGTAAAGCATTGTGCCTGTGTTGAATAGGTTCAAAGTTCATTAAAGCAGGAGGCTGGCAGGAAGGACAAGTAGTCAAACAGAGGCAGCTTTGCCTACCCCTGGGAAAATGCTTTCTGTATTAGCAAACATTTCACACATCTGACCTATTTTACTTTTGTATTCCCAGCCAGAAAGTCTATATTAAGAAACAGCAAAGATTGAAAACATGTGATTTACATTAAGGAAATGAATAAGTGCTAGCAAGTAATGACTTCCTCCCCAGTCTGACTTCCTCTCTAATTGGCATTTGGAGGTATACTGGGACAGGCTTAAGATAAAGATTTCCCACTAAACCTAATACTGATGCTTTTTTTCCCCAAAAATTTGCAAGTTTCATGCTCAGTATATATTGGGAGGACAGACCTTAAAGACTGAATGAAAAACGCAGATCTTAAATTTTTCTACTCTGACATAATACTTGAGGAGACACAACATTGAGAAGCTATTTACTGTGCCATTTGATGGCAGGAGACCACCCTGGGAATCACATGTGCTACAAGGATGCTAACCTTGCCATCTCAGCAAAAAGAGCCCATACCCTGCTGCTTCACAGATACCACGACCACAACCTGCAGGCAAATTACAGTTGATTCCTTTCTCTCCAACATTTTCATTCTGCAACCCATCCAGGGATGATATGCTCTCCACCATGAAAAATAATTCAAGGAAATCAGCCACCTTGATTTTCATATATTGGTTCATTATCAAACTGTCACTTCCATATAGGTATTTTATCAAAGAACAGCCTATTTTAAATGTTTGTGCTTTCATGTATGAGAAAGTTACTTTGGGCTGCAATTTACACACTGTTGGACAAAGTTGGAAGTGTTCTACTTTCATTTCCAGCCTCTTTGATGCCTTCTTTTGCCTTGCCTCTTCTTCTTTCCCACTCTCTATCAGTTTTGGTTTTCTCCTCTCTCCCCTCCATGATTCTTTCAATTCCCATTAAAAAAGGGCTTTCCCCAGCTTCCCTGTACAAAAGTTGTAATCTCTTGTTTTTGCAACTAAGTTAAATGCAGTTTTTACAGATGGCTCCCTCTGTAAAGAGTATAGCCTTCATCAACACTTATAAGTAATCTCTTAACACACATGGTTGGGCAAAGAAAAGCTAGAAAACATTAATTTCAGGGAAAAAAAAAGATGTTTACCAGGCTCTTTTTATTATAAAGAAAAATTTCATACTTTTCAGACTTGTACAAGATACGTGACAAGTACCACCAAAACAGTTCTCAAAGCACTTCAAGTCCTAGTTTTCTATCTTATGTTGGTGAACAAGTTAACAGCCTATACTGTCAGGAGCTTCATTTAGGAGGTCATTTATCATTATATGCTTTCTACATTCCCAAGTCCCCCTCCTCCTTATGGCAGCACCAAAAAGGGAGAAGACAGGAGGAGAGTTTGGGTGCTTTTACAGGTACAGCAGACTTGTCACCTGCCCGACCATGACAGCAGCATGGCAAAAGGTGCTACCTTCCAAATGAGAATAGATTCTTACTGCAAAATGTAACCATTATGACATTGTCTAAATCCCTAATCTTCAAATCTTGGCTTTCTATGCTGATGCTGACAAATACCAGTTTGGTTTGGTTTAATATTTGTTGGAAAGAACAACCTTTTTGACAAACAGGGCTGTCTGAATACATCAGCATCTTGGTCTGGCATGATTTGGAAGGCTATACCCCAACAGACACTGCTAAAGCATTAAAAGGAAATGAGAGGAAGACATACAGTTTTGCAGCCACTGGAACTGCTTAAGGAGCTGCCTCAATTACTTGAATTCCATTAAACTCACAACAAAAATTCACCTCTCAGGTCTTGAGAGAATCTGTATGGGATTAATGAAATTAATTCTTAGGTGTCTCATAAAAAGAAAACGTCAAGCAAACTGTTTCCCACACTAAGTAGGCCTAGAGACTCTTGTTCCCATTGATTCCCATTAGACTAAGGTCAAGACTTACATATATGCTCTATTCTCTCAGCAATTCCTACTAGTTGATACTAATTCTCTTTCAGAAATTTGATATTTAATCTTCCACAATATCAAGAATTTCAATATGAATATGCTTTGATCAGATTCCTTGCTCATTCCCTGTCTGAAAAGGGGAAGCACTTCATGAAGGCATAGCCTACAGCTCAGGTGTATTTCTCAAAAATTGTTTTCACTTACCCCATGAGCCATTGAAAAGCCAGACTATAAGAACCAGCCAGACAGGCACTTCCAAGAAAACAAGATTCTTACTGGAAGTATCTTCAGTTAAATGAAGTTTATCCTCTGGATACATTTACATAACAACCACTAACAATGTCCTAACATGCATGGTAAATAGAACAAATAGACAACAGCACTCAAAACATGAAGCTGAATAGCTGATACCATCAAGTTTGGTTTCAAGGCTCTTCCAGCCAAGCATTTTGTTTGTTTCTTCACTTGTGGGGGAGATCAGTCATTCAAAATACTTGTTCTTGGGACTTGCCACCCAAATTCTCATCCAATGCCAAAGTTCATTTTTTAAACATTATTCAAATATTCAATTTTTGTCATCATCAAGCTATACAGCCAAAAGCACAGTTATGTCTAGCAAATACACAAAAGCTAGAGAATAAGCAATGCTCCAGGAAGGTGACTGACAGGAAAATGGTGCTACTGACTTTGTAGAAGCTGAATATTTAGTTTTCCCTTGGTTTTATTATAAATTCCCAATTCTAAACGACTCCTGTGTCCCACTTATGTAGGCACTAAGGCATACAATACCATGATGAAAAGCTCAATTATTTTAAACTTATATTTCCATTTCACAAGTGGCACACAAGAGTTAACCACACTTCCAACACAAAAGGTTGACAATACCCCAGGGCAATTTCCAGAGGTGAAAAGGACACAAACTATCACGTTCAGGAAAGGGCACAGCCAAGATAGAGGGGTTTGAAAGCAAAAGCTATATTCTTACCTCAGCTATCACCATTTTTCCCAGTGTGAGAAGACAGCAGATTATCTGAGAAGTTTTTGCAGAGAGATGTGAAATCACAGTCTGTAATCCAACCTCTCATAAGATTAAAAAAAGAAGCAACAATGAAGAACAGGCCACAGACTTCAAGATCACTATCTTAGCGGTCTTCTCATACAGGTTTAATATATTCATCCTTTTGTAGGCTCCAACAAAGCTACAGTAAACAAAGATTCTCTTCCCATAGAGATACCTAATATATGAAAAAGCTTAGGAAACACAAAACAAATCAAATTAAACAGCACTTAGGGCTCAATATAATAATTCTGCAGATCAGAAGTCGAACGCAGTGGGGGTTTTCCTGTTGAATTATGTCTTCAGAGACTGTCCAACTACACGAACAAGGTCATTTTATACATGCGCCTAGAGGGTTATTCAGGCAACACAGCTGTAACTATAGCCCTCCTTTTGCAAGTTGTCATGGTTTAAAACCAGTCAGGTAACTCGTTCGCTCACTTCCCCCCCTTTCTTGCCCTCCCCCTGCTCCCGGAGGGACAGAGAGGAGAATCAAAAAGAATGCAACTCCCAGGGTTGAGATAAGAACAGTTTAGTAACTAAGGTATAACACAAATCACTACTGCTACCACCAATGATAATAATGATAAAGGAAATAACAAGGGAAGAGAATACAACATCTCAGCACCAGCCGACCGATAACTTGCCCCCCCTCAGCCCGACCAAGCACCGACCGATACCTCCTCCAACCCTGCAGTCCCCCAGCCCTTCCGGCTAACTCCCAGTTACATCCTGGGCATGACGTGCTGCGGTATGGAATACCTCTTTGGTCAGTGTCGGGTCAGGTGTCCTGTCTCTGCTTCCTCCTGGCTTCCCCTCCTCCCTGGCAGAGCATGAGACTCACAAAGTCCTTGGCCAAACCAAAACATCATTGTTATCAGCTCTGTTCCCAGGCCGAAAGTCAAAACACTGCACTGCACCAGCTACCAAGAAGGAGAAAAATGACTGCTACTGCTGAACCCAGGACACAAGTGCAGATAAAAACCTGCGGAAAGCACAGAAGACAGTCTATGATACACAAACACATTTACACAGAGGCTAACTGAAGTGTGTACACTGCTTAAATGTTTGACTACTTGAGTTATATGACTTGTCTTCTGAAGTTCATGCATCTGGGTAAACACAACAATTTCCTATGTCTGGTCGTGTCCAAATTCCTCCTGAGTAATCCCAACAATGTAAATTTGGAATCAGAATTGAAGTATATGTCTTGTCAAATCTTGTCCAGCAGTAAACAGTTTCCAATAGTATTTTTGTCTGGCAACATCAAATAGTAGCAACACCAAGCATTCGGGGTTTGTTTTGCCTTTTTTAACCTGTTTGGGTTTGGTTTTTGGTTGGTTATTTTTTCCCCCTCGTATTCAGAGTAACATCAATTGGCCCTTCAGCACTGGAGTTTCAAAATGAAGCAGAACCAGGCAATTCTGTGGAGTTTGCATTTTGGGTAGCAGATGACATACCTGCTGCTCTCCACATTTCAGAACTGATTCTGACACCCAGCTCGCTGCTTTCTTTGGAGCAGCAGCTTGATGCCAGCTAGACAGATCAGTTATCTTACAAAACAGGATTACTGAATGTTCTTTCTTCAAGGATGTGAGACAAGAGTTTTCATCAGGCAGGGAATCATGACTGATGACTCCTCGTCTTAAACAATTGAAACAGACTTCTCAAAATATTTATTTTGATTTTTTAATTGACACAGCTGCTGATCTGTGCTTTTATAAGTCATATTTGTTGTTTGGTCTGTTGTGGGGCAGACAAAAAGCTTAACACATTCAACCTGCCTAAACCAAGACAAAAAGTAACCTCATCTGCAACCTGCAGCATTTCATTCAGGCTTAGAAAAGAGAGAAGATTCCCATCTTTCCTGATTCCTTCATTCCAAATGTTCTATTCAAGAGTGTAAAATTCTCATATCAGTTTTACAGCCCCACAATGGAGGGGAAAAAAAGTCTCCAGTCTAACGACTGGTATAATAGAAGTGATATACACCTAGATGCAAAACTGCTTTCACTTTTCGCAAAATACAATCCTAAACAGAGATACGCAATTACAATCAAGGGCTACAGTCTATCCCCTGTTAGGTTTTCCATCTACAGGAAGTATATGGGTCAGACACAAAATATCCTGTGCAAACCATTATTCAGTGCTTAGAAGGATTTCTCCAAATACACACTGACTTCTACATGCATATTTGCTGTTTAAATTTGATAAATTGAAAAAAAACCCTTTAATTAAATAGGCTTTGAGTTAAATACATACTCATCAACATAATTTAAAAAGCAATAGAAACATCACCTTTTATAGTTATTTCATTACTTCTTCTGGATCTTAAGTATGGAAAAGTCAGTGGCTCAGCTACCATAACCTGTGTTACCATGGTAAATGTTCTGCCACACATAAATCCATCTTCCTACAAACAGATACCAAAAATACATTCGTGCTACCTCCAAATCAGAAGATTGAATTTTTCACTTCTGTATCAAAGTGCACTTCTGAAAACACATCGATCTTCATAACTGCATTTAGGTAGAGATCATTTTATGACAGCTACAGTCATTATAACTACAGCTATTAAGACTTTAAAGACAAATATTAATCAGCCATTTACAATAAGAAATTTTTATTGTGTTTCTTTTCAAAATACTTCAATGCTTCACTTTTTCTGCTCTAATCCTTTTAACTTGCTACAATATGAAAAACGTATCTTTAGAATGCACCTTAGTCCAGCATTTTCCAAATTTTTGTCTTCCGGACAAGTGTATCATTATGTGCTACTCCAGCCACTTCACTAGGAACATAAGTCTAGAGGGCTCATTGCCATTTCTTCATTAAACATGAAGTCTTTGGTACTTATACTCTATTTGATCCTTAAAAATACATGTATTTCCAAAACAGCAGACATCAAGTAAACCCTCATTTATCTTTCAGCAAAGAGAACAATGCTGTTTTGAGTAAGACTTGATATAGCCTTTTTTACAATAGTGTATGCTCTACAGCTGAGCCTCTGTTTTAAGTAGCCAGCTTCAGAACATTTATTATAACAAATTAATTTCTCTTGGGAATTGCTGAACAAAGACACTACATATTCTGT